TTGTGTACCTTTAGTGGAGCAATAAATTATGGGTAGGCCTATACTACGACCCTAAAATCCTGGTAGTTTCAGAGTGGGGTAGAATCAGAACTTAAAATGGTTACAATAGTGATGGCGAAAATGATGGTGTTGATGATGAGGATGATGATGGTGATGATGAGGATGATGATGGTGATGATGATGTTCAAAAAAACAATATACAAAATTTTCGCTTCATAATTTTAACTTTTTTATGTAACATATTAAACATATATTTTCGCTTCATAATTTTAACTTTTTTATGTAACATATTAAGCATATATTTACATGATCCTGTGCATGATAATCCTGGTTTCCACAGAATCGCTACACAGTCGCTGCAATCCTTGCACTGCGTAGCTGTCCCCGACACTTTTGTGCTATTTTAACATATATTTTATTACCTATTTTACCGATTATGATGAAATGAATAAAGTTTGAATTGAATAACAGGCCATAGATAAAATTTTTATACTGTGTAAAATCGGTCACTGACGTTTTCTGTGGTCTTTTGTGCAACTAAGATTTAAATAATAAAACACCGAAAAATCCATGCAATTGATACAGAATGCGAGATTGCTTAAACAAGCCTTTTGTCCCGCTTGCGCCCCAAGTTTCATGCCTGGTCAGTAAGCAGATCCTTACAACTTGACTTTGGTACCCGACATCAGCTCTAAAACATAATTTGATCCTCCAAGCAAATTCTTTGGGAACATGGGTCATATAGCAAAAATACCAACGATGCAGAAATGTCCACGCTCATTCTCGCATACTCGCACTTACACGCTAACAACAAAAATTGAAAACAAACATTGCAATACTGTATAGCAATTTGCAAATTGTACATCATTTTAATTTCATTTTAAACCTCAGTTAAAAACCCATTTAATGCCAATAAAAACCCTACGTCCTCTATAAAGAAAGAAAAAAAAAGAAAAAAAATCTATATTATATCCCTTTCATTATTTTTACAATATTTTGCGATGTCCTCTTAAAACATCATATACTGCCCTCTACGACTGATTGGTATGCAAATTTCTCAGGCATAATATAATTCATTTCCTATAATGCAATGCTATTAGTGTATTAATATAAAAAAAACATACAAATAAAATTATCAAGAGTTAAACTGTTTATATATATATATATATATATATATATATCTTTATTAGCTATAAATATATCTAATCAATTTTAACAAAAATGGGTTCGATTCCCACAGCCAGTTTTTTTTTTTAATTTTTTTTTAAGGTAGTTTAGTTGATGGTGGATAATGACTAGCAAACATGGAGTGTGTGTGTTCGATTCCCACATGAACCGATTTTTTTTCCCTTAAGGCAGTTTAGTTGATGGTGGATAATGAATGTACAGTATTGTACTCGTTGATGACGTCGCGAAATAACAACAAACAACAACGTGTCATGTCCGAGCCTAGGACGTCATGGAAGCTCACTGGCTCCTGTGTAATTCATGTTGAGCCAGCTGCAGACGAAAAGGTTACAATCTTTTCAGAGATAAGCCGGAAGAAAGTTTTAGACAGTGCCCATGAATGGAAGGACTGAGAAATGGAAGTTAGCGAAGTCCTTGGATTGCTTAACCGTTTTTCTTCGATCGTCGCTTCCCACCGTCTAGGCGCGCCTAGCCTAAAGAGGGCCTACATAGCAGGTCGAGATCCATGAAAAGTCGTATATAAAGATCTTTATATTTGCACAAGTAATTAAAATTGTTTATTGAGCAGATTAATCACACTATATAAACAATTGTACTACATTCGGCTGATGTATATGAACTTCTATTTAGAGACATAATTTCATTAAATTCTTTCCAAAAATCTTAATAAACGTTAACTAGCACCTTATATCGACTTTTGAATGGTGAAAATCGGCTCAGTATAACCCATTTTACCGAGTACAAATTTTAAGTTAATAGAACAGCGTGACCGCTCCCAATTTTTGATATACCCAATGTCTGGGACGAAATTACCCAAGATTCAGCAAATATTGCCCAAAATTACCCAAGCTTCCTGAAAATGCATTAAAATTTGAAAAAAAAAAATGTGTTTTTCGCATGTATAGTTTCCCTTTTAGTTCAATTTATAAACAATTTTTTATAGTAATTGTTGTGTTAATTATTAAAATTAATATTCATGAGGTGATAATACGGATAGAAAAATACGCCCTCAGTCGACCAGTGTTATCAGTAGATCAGTGATCAAGTTTTATTATGTAATGCATTAATTAGGTAAG